TAATTCTTCCCGATATCTAATCTGAATCTCCCCTGCCGCAGCTTCAGACTCTACATCCTCCCTGGGCTGCCTGTTCCTCAGAGCAATCCTTCTCCCTTCCCAGGAGACAGAGTTCACACCCAATTTCTGGAACTAATTATTAAAAAACACCTGGCATCCCATTCCTGAAGCATGTCATGGCTCACCAAGTTCAACTGGTATATGATTTCGCATCAACTTTCCCCAAATAAGTACGACTGAGAAAGCCAGCAGAGGTCTACGGCGTTGGACAAACCTTCTCAGAGAGTTGGTGCTTGTTCACGTGGTCCAAGCCCAACCCCAGCAAACACTCCTGGTCCAGAGAGACCCCTCTGTTACATCTGAACGCGGCGGTACCAGCCACGCAAGAGCTCGGTGAGTACTGACAGGAGGATAATCTGCAGCCTATAAATAGGACCAATAAACCACAATTACAAGCTCTGCTGAGACAATTCATTTATCCAGATGTTCCCATCGTGTCATTCTCAATTGAGCAGTAAGTGATGGGCCTGGTGGGCATTTCTCCGCTAAATGCTGCACATGAGAAATCACAGCTCCAAACGATGCTGCTGATGGTACCAGAGCTGCAATAGAATCATAGGATGGCCTAGGTTGGAAGGGACCTTCAAGATCATCGAGTCCAACCATCAACCTAACTCTGACAAAAAAACCACCACTAAACCATGTCCCCCAGCACCATGTCAACCCGTCTTTTGAACACCTCCAGGGATGGTGCCTCAACCACCTCCCTGGGCAGCCCATTCCAAGGCTTGATAACCCTTTCCCTGTAAAAATTGTTCCTAATATCCAACCTGAACCTCCCCTGGTGCAACTTTCTTGTTCTCGTTTCAGACAGGTTTTAAGCATCAAAATTCCTTCAGTTTTAAGACAAGGCTCTAGGCAGGTCTTTTATTTCTATTTCTTCATCTCATGCCCAGTGGAAGTCAAAAAAATAAGAAGCCAGAAGGGTGAAGAGCCAGCTATACCACCCCCTGCCCACTCCTGGTGGGAGATCTCCTAACTCTCTCCTATTTTTTCTCCTAGAAGGGGATGGTGAGACCCATGCACACCCATGTCGAGCAAGGTGGCCACCCAAAAGCCGTATCCTTGCAGAACAAGTCCATTTACTGGGCTATTTCTACTTGATTTTCCCGGTGTCCTGAGGGCACAGGAGGATCAGAGGAATGTCATCTCTTAAATACCCCGAGCCTTGTGTTCGCACGGAACAAATGGACTCGCACAATCAAATTAAACACTGCAAGTTTATCAACATTTCCTCCAAGTGCCTCAAGGATAACAAGTTTAGTAGAAGCTATTTAGAAAAAAAAAAAAACAAACCCAGGAGAGCGGAGATAAAGGACAAGCTCTTTAATACACCTCTGCTTCCTGTGCTGGAGGAGGAGATGGAGATAGCACTGCACCAGGACCAGAAGGAAAGTCCTACTGTGGGACACACTCAGCCCCTGCATGGGGACAGCCTGGTTTGGGGACAGCTCTGCTGGGATGGTCCCAGGGGTGGGAGCTCACCCCCAGCACAGCCTGGAGACCCAGAGAGGTGGGTATCCCCTTCTCCTGCCATTCAGCACATCCAAACCACATCTGGACCACATCTGGATGCTGCGGAGACCCCCGAGGACAGGTCCTGCAGAGATCCCCAAGGAGGCAGCAGCCCTGGACATTTTTGAGGACCAAATGAGGTTTCTCAGAAGAAGAAAACCTCCCACAGTCTCTTTTCTTCCCCTCCATTTTATCACTGATAAAGGGGAAGGAAACCCCAAGCTGTCCTTTTCACAAGCTCTCTAGCTGCATCCATATGTCTGTTTACACACACAAGTGCATATAGATTTTTTAATCTGGCACAGAAGAAGGGGGAACGAAGCAGGAAATCAACCAAGATCTTACAAAACCACTTCATTTTTGTGCAAAACACTCTTGGCATACAGCAACACCTGCTCACCATTTCCAGCTGACCTCTTATGTCACAAGAGCTCATTTTTTGTCCCCCCACCTTGTTTTCCTGGAGAAAGACCATGGCACAACACCACTGTATGACATGGAAAGCCAACACAGAGTGGAGAACAGGTTTTTATCTGCTCTTCTCAGGCCCTCACGCCAACACACTGACACCCCTGAGTGGTCGTTGCAACTTCAATCAAAACCATCTCGCCAGGAGAATAATTCATGCCACGACGGCACCGAAAAATTCAGCTCTGCTGATTAGAGAAGAGCTAATCCAAAGAAAGTGTCCTTCAGGTGGTTCTGCAATAAAAAGAACCCAAAAGAAATGCCCCAAAAAAGCCAAAACCAAACCCACGGAGCAGCACGTTCCCCAAATGCAACATCCCTGCTCTCCTCAATGCTGCTTCATTAAGTAGGGTTCCCTTACCACCCTCATTATCCCCCCAAGGAGGTCACCAAGCATTTCCTGGATGCCACCAGGAGAGCAGACCACATCTCCATTTCTCCTAAGTCATAACTCACCGCTAATTCTCTGACACTGATTACAAACAGGAGGTTCAGCAGAAGGGTGCCAGGCCATACCATGCCAGCCTCTCCCTCTGGCTGCTAAGAAAAACCAACGTGCAATTTTGGGAAGTAGCAGGCAAGCCAGCAAGTCCAGTGAGATGGCCTGGGATTATCTCATTAGGGTCTGAAGGCATCTCAGTGAGTTAAGGGATTTTCAAGCTGAGTTAAGACATTTTGGACTGTCTGAGAACGTGAGCACTAAGAAAACAAGAAACATCTCATGGAAAATAAGTCCATCAAGCAGTGAGTCACCAGAAGAGGTAATGGAGCTGTGATAGGGATCCCAATCTACTGCCTAGTTAACACATTGATACCCAGCATGCAACAGGCAGCCGTGGTCTTCTCCTGTCCAAGTTTCTCCACTGGGATGTGTGGTTTTGTCATGTATACGTAACTGTATTGAGCAAGATGGCCATCCCGATTTCCAAACACTGCTTAGGTTGGGCTCCTTGAAATTTAATCACAGAATAGCTGAGTTTGGAGAGGACCTCTGAAGGTCACCTTACCTTGTCCAAACGCCCCTGCTTGGGCAGGGCCACCTAGAGCTGGTTGCTCACGACCAGATGTTTGCTTGAGCAGGGCCACCTAGAGCTGGTTGCTCACGACCAGATGTTTTTTGAGTATCTCCAAGGATGGAGACTCCACAACCTCCCTGGGTGATCTATGCCAGTGCTTGGTCACCTTCACAGTGAAAAAGTGTTTCAGAGGGAACCCCCCATGCTTCTGTTTGTGCCCATTGCCTCTGGTCCTGTTACTGGGTCCCACTGACAAGAGCTTGGCTTCATCCTCTTTGCACCCTTCCTTCAGGTATTTATATACCTTAGTAAGATCCCCCTGAGCCTGGCCATGTCTCTCTCACACTGAGGAGCCCAGAACTGGACCCAGCACTCCAGGGGTGGCCTGGCCAGTGCTGAGTAGAGGGGGAAGACCACCTCCCTTGGCCAGCTGGAAACAATCCTTCTAATGCAGCCCCAGGTACCCAGATACCACTCACCTTCTTTGGCACAAGGGCACGTTTCTGGATCACGTTCAACTTGGTACCCAACAAGACCTCCAGGGCCTTTTCTGCTGAGCTGCTTTGTAGCTGGATGGCCTGCAGCATGTCCTGGTGCCTGGGGTTCTTCCTCCCCAGGTGCAGGACTTTGCACTTCCCCTTGTTGAACTTCATGAGGTTCCCACGTGCACATTTCTCCAGCTCATGGAGGTCCCTCTGGATGGCAGCACGACCCTCTGGTGCATCGACCCCTCCTCCCAGTTTGGGGTCATCAGTGAACTTACTGAGGGTACACTCTGCCCCATCACCCAGACCATTAATGATGAGGTTAAGCAGAACTGGACCCAGCATTGACCCCTGGGGTACAGTACTAGCTGCTGGCCTCCAGCTAGGCTTTGTCCAATGACCACCACTCTGGGCCTGGCCGTTCAGCCAGTTTTCAACCCACCTCATTGTGAGCTCCTCCAGCCCACCCTTCATCAGCTTGTCCATGAGGATCTTATGGGAGAAGGTGTCAAAAGCCTCACTGAAGTCCCAGTAGATAACATCCACTGCTCTCCCCTCTAAGTCTACCTCATGGTCCCTCCACAAGTGACCAGAATCACAGAATCATAGAATGGTTAGAGTTGGAAGGGACCTTAAAAATCATTGAGTTTCACCCCCCTGCCCTGGGCAGGGACACCTCCCACCAGACCAGGTTGCTCCAAGCCCCATCCAGCCTGGCCTTGAACCCCTCCAGGGATGGGGCAGCCACAGCTTCTCTGGGCAACCTGGGCCAGTGTCTCACCAACCTCAAAGCAAAGACTTTCTTTCTGGTATCTCATCTAAATCTCCCCTCTTCCCATTCCAAACCGTTCCCCCTTGTCCTGTCACTGCACTCCCTGACAAAGAGTCCCTCCCCAGCTCTCCTGGAGCTCCCTTCAGATCTTGGAAGGATGCCCAGACGTCTCCCTGGAGCCTTCTCTTCTCCAGGCTGAACAACCCCAGCTCTCTCAGCCTGTCTTCATAGCAGAGATGCTATATCCCTCTGAGCATCTTGGTGGCCCTCCACTGGACCCGTTCCAACAGGTCCATGTCCTTCCTGTGTTGAGGACCCCAGAGCTGGACACAGAGCTCCAGGTTGGGTCTCACCAGAGCAGAGCAGAGGGGTAGAATCACCCTCCTCGACCTGCTGGCCACACTTCTTTTGATGCAGCCCAGGATGCTGTTGGCTTTCTGGGCTTCCAGTGTGCACTGCCAGCTCATGTTGAGCTTCTCATCCATGAATGAGGATGGGGAAGCTCCTTCAGGTGGCCCCAGCAGGGATGAGCCAGGGCAGCAGCAGAGCAGAGTGAAACAGCACATTTTTTTCCCCCCTCATGAACTAAAACCCACTGCTGACCTCCTTAACACTCCAAAATGGAAGAGGGGCGCAGTCCCGGGATGCCAGGAAGGGAAGGGCAAGCAGAGGGCCCTCACTTACCCCACGGTCTCATCCCAGTCACACCAGAGCCGCTGCCCGATGCCCTCCATGCTGAGCTGGAACTGCTTCAGGCAGTAGTGCCGGATCATCCAGCCGTAGTCCGCCTCCTGGCACGCCGTCGCCGCGATGAAGTGATGGGCTGCAAGACAGGCGAGGGGGGAGCGGGGTCAGGCTCTGCCCCCCTGGGGTCAATGACAGCCCCTTGACCCCCCCACTCTCAACCAGCTTCTCCAAAACCTCCTTCTCAGGGTCTTATTTCCCTCTTCACCTCCCTCTGACCCTCCGATGCAGCAGCATCCCCCGTTAACCCTCCCAAGTGCTTGACACTAGAGAAATCAATTATTCAAAAGATGCCAGGTAAGTCATAAATAAGTAAGGACGCGGATTTACTCTCTGCTCATCACTTGACACACATCTTTGGAGTTTAAAATCCTGTTTTTTCGGTTTATAAAGAGAGGAAGGGTGTGGAGGAAAGCAGGGAATAATTCCACAGCTCCCAAACGGATCCCTGCTGCTGGTGAGCAAAGGACACCTCAACACTTCAATGCTTATAAATACTTAAAGGGAGGGTGTCAAGAGGATGGGGCTGGTCTTTTTTCAGTGGTGCCCAGGGACAGGACAAGAGGAAATGGGCACAAATTTGAATAGAAGAAGTTCCACCTCAACATGAGGAGGAACTTCTTTCCTGTGAGGGTGGCAGAGCCCTGGAAGAGGCTGCCCAGGGAGGTGGTGGAGTCTCCTTCTCTGGAGACATTCAAACCCACCTGGACACATTCCTGTGGGACCTGCTCTGGGTGGCCCTGCTTTGGCAGGGGGTTGGACTAGATGATCTCCAGAGGTCTCTTCCAACCCCATGGGATTCTGTGAAAAATTATCTGCGTGGTGCCACACTTGGAAACAAATGTCCATTTCCAACAAGAAGGGACAAGCATGGTGAAATTCATCTCTGCCTGCACGGTGCTGATTTAATTCATCCCTGGGCACACGTCCCCTCTACAAGGTGCCTTCAGGAAGAGATGCTGCTTCCATCCCTATGAGTTTGTGCACAATTAGTCCAGTTTTGGCAGTGAACGGAAAGGAAAAAGGCCAGCAGTGCTACAAGGGGGAGATGGAGCAGGCTAGACGACAGAAATAAAAAAAGCTTTGAAGGAATGACTTACTAAGCCTGGCTATAAATAATCCCTTTCCCTCAGTCCCCAAGAGCCAGCTATGCCTCGGCAGCTCCTGGAGCAGACTGCAGACAGGCACCCCGTACCGGCTCTATTTTTTGCTCTGCATGAATAACTCTGAGCAAAAGAGCGGGGCTTTGTTTTTATTTTTAACTATTTTTTTTTTTAACAAAACAGAAATGAGCTATTTATTTAGCAGGCTGCGTTGTTGCAAGCCATGGGACATCGCCAGCAGCTCCTGCCTGGGGGTGGACAGACACAGCCCTCCTTGAGAGGTCCCTCTGCAGCCCCCAAATCAATTAGCAAGCCAAGGGAAGGGAGTCAAGGAGCATTAAACCCTCACTGGTGCAGTAATAAAACCGAGTTCATCATCATCTCAAGCTCTCCCCAACCAATACCACACAGGGGCTCAGCACCCGTGCAGGACAACCCAGCCAGAGACAAGCCCTGCTCTGAAATGGGAAGGTTTGGAATCACAGAATTGTCAGAGTTGGAAAGGACCTTCTAGAGATCATCCAGTCCAACTCCCCTGCCAAAGCAGGGCTGCCCAGAGCACATCACTCAGGAGCATCCAGACAGGGCTTGAAGATCTCCAGAGAAGGGGACTCCACACCTTCCCTGGGCAGCCTCTGCCAGGGCTCTGCCACCCTCACCCCAAAGAAGTTCTTCCTCACATTGGAGTGGAACTTCCCATGGTCCACCTTGTGCCCGTTGCCCCTTGTCCTGTCACTGGGAACCACTGGAAAGAGTCTGGCTCCATCCTCCCTCAACCCACCCTTTAGACACTTCTAAGCATTGAGAAGGTCTCCCCTCAGCCTTCTCTTCTCCAGGCTAAAGAGCCCCAGCTCTCCCAGCCTTTCCTCATCAGGGAGATGCTCCAATCCCTCCATCATCTCTGTTGCCCTACGCTGGACTCTCTCCAGCAGTTCCCTGTCTCTCTTGAACTGGGGAGCCCAGCACTGGAGGCAGGATTCCAGTTGTGGCCTCCCCAGTGCAGAGCAGAGGGGGAGAATGACCTCTCTCCACCTCCTGGCCACACTCTTCCCTAGGCAGCCCAGGATCCCATTGGCCTCTTGGCCACATGGGCACATTGCTGGCTCATGATTTACTACCCACCAGGACCCTCAGATCCTTCTCCTCAGAAGTGCTTTCCAGCAGGCCCACCCCTAACCCATACTGGTGCCTGGCGTTCTTCTTCCCCAGGTGCAGGACCTTACACTTGCCCTTGTTGAACCTCATGAGGTTCTTCCCTGCCCAATGCTGAAGCAAAGTGCCAAGCAAGGAGGAGGAGAAGGAGGGAAGATGCAATAATTTTATGTGAGAGCTGGACTGCAAAATTTCAGTCCGGGCAGTCTCAGGGATGATTGATGGCTGGGAGGCTTTTCTCCCCTTCCCATCCCTGCAAGCCTGGATGAATGGAGTGACCAAGTGATACGTCTGAGCACCAGCACCCAAGGAGGGAGGTTCAGGTGCCACCCCCAGGGGTCACCCCCTCAGTGAAGACCGTGCACCGGACCGTGAAACACAAGTGCCCTGCAAACATTTCCCCACCACATGGGTGGACAAAGAGCGTGCAAAGGAGAAGCCACCAGCGAAGGCACGGAGCACGGAGCAGGAGGGAGATGCCTAAGGGGAGAGAGGGAGTGCAGGGGAGGCCGACAGATTAAAAAGCAGCTGGAGGAGCAGCCAAGGGGAATGAGGAAAAAAAGGAGGAATCGGAGCCAGGCAGCAATGAGCGAGACACACAAAGCACGGGGAGAAATTGAGGACGACGAAGCCGCTTTAAGAAATTTAAGAGCAATACAGCAGGAGAAGAAAAAGCAGAAGTTAACTGAGCACGGCCAGGCTGCCCTTCCCCGGGCTTTGCTTCCCCCTGCTCCCAATTAGCACAGATGACAAGGCATCACTTGTACCACAGAAACCATCTCTATTTAGAGATACCCAAAGATTTTCTGATGACCACGCATCTGCTCCTGCAGAGCAGACCTTGGGGAAAACACCTTAACAGGCAGCTCCACCTTGGGTGGGGAGAGGAGAAACACTCAATAAACCCCGGGGACGAAGCAGCTGAGAACTGCAAACTGGGTCTGTGATGCCTGCTTGAGTAGCTGCAAGCCATGTATAGCTGGGAGTCAGCATGGAAACGAGCCCTGGTATTAAAATTAAAACAAAAAAAGAAAAAAAAAACCCAAAACAAGTGAAAATGAAAACCCAGGGAGCTCTAAGCACGTTGCAACCAAAGCTGCTCAAAAGCCACTGCTGGGTTCATAGGATGGTTAGAGTTGGAAGGGACCTTTAAGATCATTGAGTTCCAACCCCCTGCCCTGGGCAGGGACACCTCCCACCAGACCAGGTTGCTCCAAGCCCCATCCAGCCTGGCCTTGAACCCCTCCAGGGATGGGGCAGCCACAGCTTCTCTGGGCAACCTGTTCCAGTGCCTCACCACCCTCACAGCAAAGAATTTCTTTCTGGTATCTCATCTCAATCTCCCCTCTTCCAATTTAAGCCCATCCCCCCTTGTCCTGTCACTGCACTCCCTGACAAAGAGTCCCTCCCCAGCTCTCCTGGAGCTCCCTTCAGATCTTGGAAGGCTGCTCTGAGGTCTCCCTGGAGCCTTCTCAGGGTTAGATGGGTGTGAGCGACCAGGAGAGAGCCAGAGCAGGGGCTTCCTCATCCCTGAGCATCTGACTCGTATCCTTGCTTCCATCCCTGAGCATCTGACTCGTATCCTTGCTCTTTGTTCTTGCCTCTTGTCATAGAATCATAGAATCGTCCAGGTTGGAAGGGACCTTAAAGATCATCTAGTCCAACCATCAACCTAACTCTGATAAAAAAATAAATAAGAAATAAGCAATAAAAAAATCACTAAACCATATTCCTGAGGACCATGTCAACCCATCTTTTGAACACCTCCAGGGATGGTGCCTCAACCACTTCCCTGGGCAGCCCATTCCAATGCTGGATAACCCTTTCCGTGAAGAAATTGTTCCTAATATCCAGTCAAAACCTCCCCTGGTGCAACTTGAGGCCATTTCCCCTTGTCCTATCTCCTGTGACCTGGGAGACGAGACTGACCCCCACTTCTCTACACCCCCCCTTCAGGTAGTTATAGAGTGTCTGAAGTCCTTCACAGGTACATCACCACTTTTCTTCCTCCCACCCCCGGCAGCTCTTTGCAACGTTCTCCAGGAGCTCTGTCTAAACCCATGAGGACTTTGTCTTCTGCAGCAGTGAACGCTGCAGGTGCCGACAGCCAAGGCTTGGCTTAACCCCAAGGAGTGGGTGCAGAGACCCGTGCTCGTAGAAGACATCTCCCCACCACATCTCCCACAGCTACACGCAGGTTCTGTCTACAAACCCTCTTCCCTGGGGGACTGGGGAAACCAGACCCGTCTGCCAGTGACTGAGACATCTCACAAGGACATTAGATTTTCACCATCATCACAAAAGACTCTTCCATTTTACACATCAGAGGCAAAGAGAATCCAAGAGGAGCAAGGCTCAACACAGCCCACCGTGTAATTGCTACAAGGACAAGGCAGGAGACTTTAAGGACTTTAAGGTCAAAGTGAGGAGAAGCTCCTGCCATGTTCCTACACAGTCCCCACCTAAACCCTGCTGCTGACCAGATTTCCCCCCAAACCCATGGTTATCCACATCAGGCTGGGGCAGGATCCAGATTTGTAACAACAGAAGGAAAAAAACTGGGAGGGATTTTTTTTCCTTTTTTTTTTTCCTTCTGGCTCTCATTCCAGAAGGTTTTCCTTCCCCTCTCAGCCCTGCTGACAGGGGAGGCATAAGTCAGCTGCAGGGAGCCGTAAATAACTGAGCTCCGTCACGGTCACATCTCAGTACTTAACAGCATTCATTTGTGAAGGCTCTAAGGAGCTGCTTAAATGAGCTCCAAAACCCAACTCTATCAAGGCTGAGCTGCCTCCAGGAGCAATCCTCTCACACTCTCCCAGCACTCCCCTTCCCTTAGGAAA